AATATAGCCCCGCCCACCCGCCCTATCTCCATTGTGATGATTTTTTTTTTATTCGTCATGAACCAAGAAGGCGGAGCTTAACTGCAAAATCTTTATGTCTCTACGACAAATTAAAAACATGTTTCTGAGTATCGTGTTATTTAAAGAATAATATGTGTATTAAGAAAAAAAAGGTAAAATATAATCTCCACCTACCCACCCCATCTCAATTGTGATGATTTTTTATATATAGAAATAAGTATTTTGCAGTTAACCTGCGCCTTCTTGGTTCACGGCGAATAAAAAAAAATCAACACAATTGAGATAGGGCGGGTGGGCGGGCCTTCATTTTGCCTTTTTGTTTTAGTATGTGCGGACTTCTTTCAGGCGCGGATACAGGATTTCGTTCAGGGGGGGGGGGCAATTTTTGTGTGATTTTACCTGTCTACCAGAAATTCGTTCTAAACAAAGAAGAAAAATATAAAATTTTAGCTAGTATACTCTTTTTCACATAACATGGGTGACCTTTGGTTCTTTTCATTACACGTATAGTGTACAGTAGAACCTCGATAATCCTAATTCCTAATTGGGAAAAAGGTGTGTTCGGATTACCGATTTTTTTTTCACAAAAATCTGAAAGGGAATTGAATAACAACTTCATACACAACTGAAAACAAACTTGAAGAAATAAACCTAAATTTTATTAAACAAAAATTAAAGAATTCTTAAGCAACAATGGATAATAGATACATTCTAAAAAAATATTACTCCGTGACCATAAACACGCTATCTTTTTGGAATAAACACCCCGGGATCTATACCCTAAAATTTTTCAGAATTTTTAGATGAATTTTTCAAAAATGAAATTTTCCATTATGTATTCGTATTACCTCCATTATGCAAATTTCGACCCATTCTCGACGATTTTTGAAATTTAACTAAATATATTTTCTTGTAGATTTTGCACCTCAGAAGTCACTTCTGGCTTCATTTCTTCGATAACTTAAACCATTTTTCCAGAATCGTCCAGTTGAAATATCGCAATTTTTAAAAATTTTCCGAAAATAGTGCTCCGTTACCATAAACATGGTATATTTTTGGAATCAGCACGTCGGGATATATATCCCTGAATTTTTTCAGAATTTTTAGGAAAATTTTTCGAAAATGAAATTTTTCTCATGCAAATTTCGACCCATTTTCGACGATTTTCGAAATTTAACCAAATACTTTCTCTTGTAGATCTCGGGTCTCCGATAACTTCATCCGTTTCTCCAGAATTAGTTAATTAATTCAGTGCTTTGAAATATCGCAATTTTTAAAAATTTCAAAATATTCCATACAACATATGCAGAAAGATCTTGCGTCATTTTTGGAAGTAGATGCATGTTTTCAAGTTCAGTTCGGGTTGCAGAGTTTTTGTTCGGATTAAAGAGGCATCGACTTCAAATAGCCTCTGTTCGGATTACTGGATGTTGAGACAATCGTGAGTTCGGATTATAGAGGTTGTACTGTATTTACAAAATGAAATATGATTTCAAAATTTTGAAATTGGTCAAAATAAAGTACCTCGGTCGTGTGGCAATGGGTGCAATTGCCCCCCCCCCTGGATCCGCGCTTGACTTCTTTTCACAACATGAAACTTAAAACACGTTTAAAATGGAAATTTTGAGTATCGTACTGTTCAAAGAATACTATATACATATTTTAAGAAAAAAATAAAGCCAAAAATTAAACCCCACCCATGCACGCCCTGATCTTAACTGTCAGTTGTGATGAATTTTTCATTCGTTGTCAGATCGAGGGGCAGACTTCAATTCCAAGATCCATATTTGTCTAGAAAGATTTACCATTTTAAACATGTTTTAAGTTTCTTGTTCTGAAAAGACGACTACGTGTATTAAGAAGAAAAGCAAACTATAAGCCCCGCCCACCCGCTTTGTCTCAATTGTGATGATTTTTTTTAATCGCCGAGAGCCAAACGAGCGGAATTTAATTGCAAAGTCCTTATTATTTCTCTAGAAAAAATTGCCATGTAAGACATACTACTACGTATATTAAGAAAAAATTAAAGCCAAATATTAAGCCCCGCCCATACCTGCCCTATTGTAAATATAGTAATGAAGGTTTCATTCGTTGGAAGACCTAAGGGCGGAGCCTATTTGCAAAATCCATATTTCCCCACAAAAATGTAATATTTTAAACGTGTTTGAAAGTGTCTAAGAATAAAAAAATCCTCACAATTGAGAGTGGGGAGGGTGGGCGGGGGTTTATATTTTGCCTTTTTTTTCTTAATAAACATAGTGTTCTTTGAACAACACGATACTCAAAGACATATAATATAATATTTATTTATTATTTATTTCTTATTTATTTGTCTATCTATAGTTTCTTGATATTACACATTAATCACAATGCCATTGTAATTATAATCCCATTATAATGACAACAAGTCTCAATAAAGATATACTACCGAGGATACTTGCTTTGTTTCTGATCTACCCGACAGAGCTTCTCAATCTTTTAGGAGATGCAATGGGTTATTATAATTTTTTATTAATATCAATCACCATTTCATTGTCGACATAGACTTTCTTGTATTTATTTAAAAAAAAAGTTGCTGTGGAAATAAAATAAATGTTAAATGTAATTTATAAACTTGCTGTTGACGTTGAAGCTCCCGTTTCAATTGCTCTTCCCGCTGACGTTGCTTTTAGAGCTGAAAATTGTCAAAAAGATTCAAGTTGATTACTACAAAAATTTACCATTTTATACATGTTTCAAGTTTCTTGTTGTCTAAATAATTCTACACATATTAAGAAAAAAAAAAGGCAAAATATAGCCCCGCCCACCCGCCCTATCTCCATTGTGATGATTTTTTTATTCGTCATGAACCAAGAAGGCGGAGCTTACCTGCAAAATCCTTATGTCTCTACGAGAAATTAAAAACATGTTTCTGAGTATCGTGTTGTTCAAAGAATACTATGTATATTAAGAAAAAAAAAGGCAAAACATAAACCCCGCCCACCCACCCCATCTCAATTCTGATGATTTTTTGTATATAGAAATAAGTATTTTGCAGTTAACCTGCGCCCTCTTGGGTCACGGCGAATAAAAAAAAATCAACACAATTGAGATAGGGCGGGTGGGCGGGCCTTCATTTTGCCTTTTTGTTTTAATATGTGCAGACTTCTTTTCACAACATGAAGGTTAAAATGGAAAATTTGTATAAGGAAATATTGATTTTGCAATACGGCTCCGCCCCCTCTACGAGAAATTAAAAACACGGTTTTGAGTGCCGTACTGTTCAAAGAATACTATATATTTTAAGAAAAAAATAAAGCCAAAGATTAGACCCCACCCATGCACGCCCTGATCTCAATTCTCAGTTGTGATGACTTTTTCATTCGTTGTCAGATCGAGGGGCGGACTTCAATTACATGATCCATATTTGTTTAGAAAGATTTACCATTTTAAACATGTTTTAAGTTTCTTGCTCTGAAAAGACGACTACGTGTATCAATAAGAAAAGCAAACTATAATCCCCGCCCACCCGCCCTGTCTCAATTGTGATGATTTTTTTGTATCGCCGAGAGCCAAACGAGCGGAATTTAATTGCAAAATCCTTATTATTTTTCTACAAAAAATTACCATGTAAGAGAGGTTTTTGAGTATCAAGTTATTCAAAAAATATTATGTACTTATATTAAGAAAAAACTAAAGCCAAAGATTAAGCTCCACCCATACCTGAAGTTTTCATTCATTGGCAGACCTAGGGGCGGAGCTTAATTGCAAAATCCATATTTCTTTGCAAAAATTTACCATTTTAAACGTATTTTAAGTTTCCAAGAATACAAAAAATCATCACAATTGAGATGGGGTGGGTGGGCGGGGTTTATATTTTGCCTTTTTTTTCTTAATATCCGTAATATTCTTTGAACAACACGATACTCAAAGACATGTTTTTAATTTCTTCTAAAGAAATAAGTATTTTGCCGTTAAACTCCCCCTCCTTGGTTCACGGCGACTAAAAAAAAATTACGTTACGTTTTGCCTTTTTGTTTGAATATGTGCAGATTTCTTTTTAAACTTAAAACATTTTTAAAATGGAAAATTTTTATAAGGAAATACATATCGATTTTACAATTAGGCTCCGCTCCACAATTGCAAAATCCATATTTCCTTGCAAAAATGTACCATTTTAACCAGGTTTTATGTTTCTTGTTGTGAAAAAATAGTTATGTATATTAAGAAAAAAGGAAAAATATAAACCCCGCCCACCCACCCTATCTCGATTCTGATGATTTTTTTATTCGCCATAAGCCGAGAGGTTGCACTGTACACTACTGCAATTTGATTGGTGGAAAACCCAACGGCAACGTCAACGGATGATGTAAACGACGCAAACCTAGAAAACAGTTTATGACACAAACTAACAAAACTTGACTTTATCCAGTTGAACGAAAATGAGGCGTTTGGCCGAGTGACTAATTTCCACGAGGGAATAATTCAGTTTGCGTAATTTTTATTTACTCTAAACTGCTTGGAAATCGATTTACAAAAATAGATTTTTCAGAAAAATCCCAAACAGCTGTACATGAACCGCATTCGTAGTTGTTTAATAGTAGGTACACATCGAGACAGTTTTAATTTTATAAAAAAAAGCCTCCCCGGCGGGGAATCGAACCCCGGTCTCCCGCGTGACAGGCGGGGATACTGACCACTATACTACCGAGGACTGATATTTAAGTACCACACACTCAGTGGTCCCTCCGTACTTACTAAAAATAAGTTCGTTATACGATTTATTTATGCATTTGAACATTTTTCCCGTAAATAATCAATGTCTAAAAATATAAATACACTCAAAGGCAATTTTTTTGCCAAATTTTACAAAAAAAAATCCTCCCCGGCGGGGAATCGAACCCCGGTCTCCCGCGTGACAGGCGGGGATACTTACCACTATACTACCGAGGACTATATCACTATTTCTGAATTATATACTACATACAGACATTTTTCAGATAAAACTCTAACTCGCGATGTAGCCTGTAGCCACATCCGAGCTTGGCGTCTTTTCCAAGAAACCCTCCTCAACAAAGCCGCGGGCAACGAAAACCGCTGCGAATTCACAGCTTTCAGTTGTCCTGGAGGATTAAAGTCCTTTGAAAGGGGATTCTGCTTCCCGCATTTACCGAATCCGAACAGTTCCTTAGCGTTCGCTTCGAGCTACAGGAGCGACATCGGGCGTTTCGGGGAGGACATCAAAGGAGAAGGAGTGATGTTTTTCGTGACCAGAGGGTCGCCTCCCTATTGCGGTATTTTCCCTCAGTTTAGTTAGTTAAAGTCGACTGATTGGTATTATTTATTGTAGGGACTCAAGTGCAAGCCTCGATTCACATTTCACCCAAAACTGGCCCGACTAAGGGGGTTTTGTTGCTGAATTTGAAATACCCGCATCACAGCGTGGCGTTCCAAATCGAGTGCGAGTAGGTTAAAATTTCCTAGTTTGTTATATACTTATTGCCTAAAAATTCTAGTTCCAATGATTTTATTTTGACTGGGAGTGTGATGAGCGGTCTAGCGGTGGCCGACTATGGAACACTGACCGAAAATATTCAAACTATTGCAGCAAATTTAAAATACATAGATTTGGACTTTGAAGAAGAGAATAATAACACGTATATTCCGCCCGTGTTCGTCGACAAAGTAGTTGTCAGAGACATGTACAGCAACACGTAAGTCATTTAAATCAATTTAAATTATATAATTACAAATCAATTAATTTCAGCTGGCAGTTCTGCCAAAAAGACACGATTCTGAAGGACTCAGCCGGCGATAATTACGTTCTGGAGATAAACTTGTCCCGAGAGATCTGTTTTTGAGTGCGAAAAATCACTCGACAAACATTGTGATAGTAAATTTTATGTTTTGTTTTATAATAAAAACCATTCAAAAAACGTGCGCTGTTAGTGTGTTATTTTAAAGTGTTTGAAATGGATCTTTACAACGTTATAAGTTTATTAGGAAAAGGCACTTTTGGGTTCGAAATTTGTGAACATTTTTTAACCGTTTTAAAAAAATATTTTAGGACCGTCCATCTGTGCGAACGGAAACACAACAGCCAGAAAATCGTGATAAAGCGCATTTCTATCAATCTGGAAAACGGGGACGAGATAAACGTGGCGAAAAACGAAGTCGCTGTGTTGAAGTCTTTGAACCACCCCAACATAATCGAGTATTTTGATAGTTTCATGAAAAATGGAACTTTGTACATCGTTATGGAATACGCAAGCAAGGGGACTTTGTTCGACTTTATTGCTAGGTCAAGACCGAACCGATTTCAACCCCAGGTGACAACAAAAAAATGGAAACGACACACTTAACTAAATTACAATTTTTAGATCGTGATGAATCTATTTTGCCAAATTGTGTTGGGGCTCAACCACATTCACTCCAGAAACGTGATCCACAGGGACCTAAAGTGCGAAAACATTTTTCTTACTGGGTTACAAGGCGACGTGATCAAAATTGGCGATTTTGGAATATCGAAAATACTGCTAAAGTAAGTATTTTTCAAAGTGGACCCGAGTACAGTGTTTTGTTTTAGCAACAAAAACGCCCACACTCTCATCGGTACTTGTAACTACGTTGCGCCAGAAATCTGCGACGGGAAACCGTACGACAGCAAATCCGACATTTGGTCGCTTGGTTGTATTCTCTACGAAATGTGTGCCATGGAAAAAATGTTCGACGGAACGGTGAGATTCCTATTTGCGACAAACGTAAAATGCGCATTTTAGCTTTCCAATGTAGTTTTATCGATAGCCGCTGGTCGCAGGAAAGTGATTGATGTTCATTTCTACGGCGTTCAGATGCAACAAATGATTGAAATTATGCTGCAAATTGACCCCAACGACCGCCCTGATACAATGAAACTGATGACTCTGTCAGACGTTTTCCCCAGCTTGCACGTGCTAGGAACCAACTTGGGTTGTATCCCACACACATACAAATTTAATTTCTCGCAACACTAAATCAATTAAGGATGTACTCTTGGATTTTAAATAAAACTTACTACAGTAAAGAAACTTTTATTATGAAAACGATAAATTTCTGTTCGCTTCTCAACCTTGAGTTAGTAGCAACTCACCCAATATTTTACAAGTCTTTATTGTTTTGTGTAGTACAACATTCTTATCAACCATTTTTTTTTTAATTGAACTTAAATATACTTGGAAAATTACCTTTTTTTACTCATAATCCATACTGTGTCCATTCTGGTAACCTAAAAACAGATGTCAGTTCTAGCCACAGAAAAGGTGTAAAAATACCGTTCATATTTTCTTGTCCAGGGATTTGACCAGATTGTAGAATTTTCTGCAGGCGTTCCACTTCTTCCAGTGAGCTTGCTTTATTAATAGCGTCCCTAATTTTGGCAATTTCGTCGTCCGAAAGACCTTTGCTTTTTGCAATGCTGTTGGGTGCCCCTCCAGGAACGAAAGTTTTCGCCCTCTTCCCAATCTCTTTTCTGATTTCTTTACCCTTCTTGCTCTTAAACAACGTTTTCGCCTCCTCCCGTTCTTTCATTGATATTTTACGAAAATCAAGAAGTCTCAGCTGGGGTAGTTTATAAACTAAATACAACCTGTAATGAGGCTTTGATGTGATAGGGTTGTGTAAAAGACTGAGACTTGTGAGCTTTTCTAGTGTGCCTAAGGGTTCAATATCACTTAGTTCCTCTATGTGATTGCCTGTTAATACCAGACTTTCTAAATTTGGAATGTATTCTTCCAAGTGCTCACCAATTCGTCTACAAACAAAAACCTAGTTGTATTTTAAAAAATTACACACTATTTTACATACACGATGCGATTGTTGTTGAAAAGGAGGCATTTTAGTCGCTTCAAGTACGGAAAACCGTCCAATTTTCGCACGTCATTGTCCGAAAAGTCAATTGTGTCGAACTGGTCGCCGGTGGCCCCCAAATTTTCCACTTCGGGAATTCGATAACCTGAAATTAGGTGACATAACCTCACTTTTCGTTCACCTGTATCAACTTACCTCGGAGGTCTAATTCTCGGTCTTTGACGGGATTTATGTATTGCATGGAGTTTTGGATAATTTCAGCTGTTAGTTTGACCATTTTTGTACATGTATTATCGCGATTTTAGTCAACAAATGCACAACAAATGCAGTTGATTATTTCAACCGGTATTGCAGATAACTGTAATTTACCAGTGGCGTCTCGTCAATTTAGTTTTTAATTCGGTTTTCGCTGAGGATTAACACATTGACGCGTGTATTACAGGTTGTCTATCTTCCCGGAGTTTAAGCTAGTGCGGGAAAGGTTAATTTTAATCGCATTTTTCACATTATGTGTACGTTATACTTTTTTTTTTGCAAATGAAGATTAGAATGCACAAACTTCAAAAATAAGATAGACATTCAATCGACTGTATGTACATTATTAACATAACTTAAATAACACCATATTTTAGTTGAAAGTCATCAAAATAAATAAGTCAGTTAAATTACAATAAACACTGTCCACACGTCAAGTAATAATTATTATTACAAACAATAATGCTTTTTTCCAAGTAAAATGAATGGAAAATATTACAAACATTAACCTTTTTCCTACAATTACCTGCGGAGATTTGTTGTATAAAAATAACAACAAGTGGAATCTTCAGGCGTCGATTTAAACATTCCTACATCCTCATGTGACCAATTAATAATTCAACAGGCTACAAAAAAGTTTCTTTAACTCATTCGGCAGAATACAATAATTCATTGACGTCAAGCTTTGTTCATTTTATCTATATTGTACTCAGTTTAATTCGTTGATTAATCATGTTTCTCACCAAAAAAATCGCAGATTTTCCTGCCTGGGTTTCCCGAAACGATTGTTATTTACGTTTTTTGTCGACTATGACGACATGAGAGCGTGAGCAATCTTTTTAATGTTGTCTATGCATTGTCTAAATGTTAATAAAATTGGTGAAGCTATTTTAATTTTGGTTAGTCAGCAACTAAACCCGCAAAGTCCGGTCAAGACACCATTCCTAGATATTAAGTAGAATTTTTTTATGAAAACGAAAAACGCACGCTCTCTTTTTGGTGCACTGGTGCATTTTTTGTGCACACAAAAATTTGCTTTCAAATTTTTTTAACACAAATGCGTTTGATTACCATATTTTTTACTACCGGCTGAATAAGGTCGGTCGGTCACCGATTCATTTTAGAATTTCAATTAGTTGCAAGTTTGCTGCAAACGAGACGATTCTTACCATTATAAAAAAACTGAATCCACGATGTTGAATTCCGACAGAATAGTAAAGTAATGACCACAAACTTTCTCATAAGCCAGCTTGACCTAGACCGCCCACTTTTACTATGGAAAAATTACCTCAAAACAGGAATTAAAAATGACGATAATTTCTGTTCTTTGATTTTAATATTAATAAAATCGATGCAAGTAACGGCACAGTTTCGATAATATCCATCGCAAAAAGCGACCTTATTGTTCCGATAATTTGGTTAAGTGCTCCTTACACAGACCTAATTATGTAATGCCACCCACATATAATGAACGCAATTGTCTTCTTGCCTTGTTTACTTATGCAAATTTTAATAAAAGTGCGAGTACCTACTCTCGAGATGCGTACGGTACTGTAAATTACCTAATTTAGATGTAGTTAACCATTTGGCTAAAGCACCGCTTGCATATACAGTATCGTTTAATTAACACACATCACAATGTCGTGTATCAAAAAATGTTGTTTCGTAAAACCGGAAACCGTCCTTTAGACACATCCATTACGTTGTTGCGTGGTTTGCAGACTTTTGTTAACTGCAACAAGTTAATTAAGGCGTAATGAAGCCAAAGAACAAATTTACAGTTTCACGTCTTGAATAATAATTATGTTAATTTTCGGTGGTCAACGATTAAAATCTCAACTGATTTGTAATTCCGTTTTCGCGGTAACTATGAATTCCGAACGTCAGCTTCCCGTCTGAAATATCTTGGTCAAACAAGGACTTCCTTTGAGTTGAATTCCATGTTTGTGGAAAGGTGAATCACAATTAATAGTACACAGTTGCAACACCAATGCTTTCGTAAAGTGCATGCACTTTTCACACAAAAAGCGGCAAACTCCATCCACAAAAATTTTATTTCGTGTCCATTGTTTTGAATTTTCACACAAGTCTGTATTTTCGCATGTTTATGAAAACAGAAGGTCAAATTCGCTCGAATGTCATTCTTTTTGTTTTGACTTTTTACACCTGCTGGACCGCCTCCCAAGCAATTAAACCTGACCTTTTTGATAATCTTCTTTTCAATAAAAACGCTAAAAAAATCGGAACGAGTTTACTTTTGCGGAAATATTTCCCAGTGTCAATCGGTCCGACGTCCTTCGGCTTTCTTTCCGGTTTTAAGTTATGATTTCTTGGCCGTTGTAATTTCGCGTGTGGTATTGTCATCACGTATGGGATGGTGTTCGGCGCATTTTTAATATTAATAAAATGTAAAAATTACACGCAAAATAAGAGAAGGTGGGGGAAGAATCCAGTTTTTGGATGAGTGCTTGACTTAACTATTTGTGGCGCTTTGTGAAGAATTGTGATTTCTTGAAACAAAAAGAGAATGTTAAAAGGAAAAAAACCGTGATCTCTGGAACCAGATGGATGGGAAAGGAAAGCTGCTGGTAGAAAGTGCCAAATTATAACTGGAAACGTTAAAAAAGAAGCACATGTAAATACCACGTGTTTCTTTTATTTGATACAACCCCCGTAATTTTTTTATTTATAAAAATAAACGTATAGTTCTTTGAACAAAGTGATAATAAAAATGTGAGGTTGCCATCACTTTGAACTTTTGAAAATGATACAAATTTGCTCAAAGAGCTACAGGTTTATCTCTAAGATTAAAAAAGTTACAGGGGTTGTATAAAAAAAAGAAAGACCTTGTATATACGAGTCACACGCGCTGCAATGCATTAAGCTGTGTGTAGTTCTCTTACTTTACTGTAAAACGTTGTTATAACATTTTTTAGGCAAATTCTTCACAAAAACTCGAGACGGATTCATAAACTGCAAGTACAAGAATACGTTTATCGTCTTCAAACGGAATTGTTAGCTTGTATAGAAAAATAACCACATATTACGAATCTGAGGTCCTTCTTTTTTCAATGTATGCAATAAACAAGAAAAATAAGAAAATATTTTCCAAAAATTTACAAAAAATTGAGTTTACAGTCAATTATCCGCAAATTATAAATTTAACCTATTTTTTTACGATATATCTTTAAGTAACTGAGAATGCCAGGAAAAGTTCCACCAATATCGAAAAATTAAAAATAAAATTGAAACAATTCAAAATTAGGGCTATTTTGAAAGGTTTCAATTTTGTTTTTAATTTTCCGAAATTTTTTGAATATTTTTTGAAAAAAAGAAAAGGTATCCAGCAGAAAATTCTTCGTAGAATTCGAGTTTGAAATCCGTTTTGCGATATTTATTTGAATAAGCCAAAAATTCTCCAAAAAAATGTTTTAAACTTAAAACTTTTTAGCTTACAGATTATTGATAACAGATTATGAATTCTTGTTGTAATATGTTTTTAAATAAACTAGAAGAGTGAAAAATTTGTTTCCAAAAATTTCCAAAAATTTTTTCGAAAAAGTTAAAACTGGCTCTATTCAAACGAAAAAATTGTTAGCTCTTAGACATATGCTATATATGCAGATTACAATACGTCTTCAACTACTCGAGATGTGCAAAAAAAAAATCGAAAAATTTACAAAAAAATTGTTTGAAACCGGTCAAAATGGCCTTAGTTGAGAAGAAAGAAGAGCTAACCTCTAGAGAACTCGTTGTAAATTTCGAGTTTGAAATCCTTTTTTCAATATCTCTCAATTGGGCGAGAAATTCTAGAGAAAATTTTCCAAAAATTTCTAAAAATCTTCAAAATTTTTTAAAAACATCAGAGTTTTTAACTTGTCGAGTATTGCTGCAGATCATGGATTTGAGGTCCTTTTTGCAATATACCTTATATTTTAAATAAGGGAGAAAAGTGAGAAAAAAGTTACAACAAAAAAAAATTGGAATCGTTCAAAATTAGAGCCATTTTGAAAGGTTTCAATTTTGTTTTGAATTTTTCGAAATTTTTTGAATATTTTTTTAAAAGAAGAAAAGCTATCCTAGAGACTAGCTTGAATAAACTAGAAATTCGAGAGAAAATTTTCCAAAAATTCTCCAAAAAAAGTTTTTAAAACTTAAAAGTCTTTAGCTTACCGATTATTGATAACAGATTACAAGTCCTTTTTGTAATATATTTTTAAATAAGCTAGAAAAGTGAAAAAATATTTTCGAAAAATTTTCAAAAACTTTTTAGAAAACGTTAAAAATGGCTCTATTTAAACGGAAAAATTGTTAGCTTTTGGACATGCATATGCTATATACGCAGATTACGAATATAAAATATTTTTTACAATATGTCTTCAAATAATCGAGAAATAAAAAAAAATCGAAAAATTTACAAAAAAATTGTTTGAAACCGTTCAAAATGGTCTTAGTTCAGAGGAAAGAAAAGCCAACCTATAGAGAATTCTTCAGATATTTCGAGTCTGAAAATCTTCTTTCGATATCTCTCAATTAGGCGAGAAATTGGAGAGGAAAATTTTCAAAAATTTCCAAAAATGTTCAAAAAAATTATAAAAACATCAATTTTTAGCTTGTCGGGTATTACTGCAGATCCTGGATTTGAGGTCCTTTTTGCAATATATCTTTTAAATAAGCGAGAAAAGTGAGAAAAAATAACAGTAAAATAAAATATAATGTTTTAAACTTAAAACGCTTTAACTTATGGATTATTGATAACAGATTACGAGTCCGTTTTGCAATATATTTTTTAATAAGCTAGAAAAATGAGAAAATATTTTCCAAATATTTCCAAAAATTTTTTCGAAAACGTTAAAAGTGGCACTATTCAAACGGAAAAATTATTAACTTTTAGACTTATGTTATATACGCAGATTTCAGTATGTCTTCAACTAATAGAGAAATGCAAAAAAAATCGAAAAATTTACAAAAAAAATGTTTGAAACCGTTCAAAATGGCCTTAGTTCAGAGGAAAGAAAAGCCAACCTATAGACAATCCTTCAGATATTTCGAGTCTGAAATTCGTCTTTCGATATCTCTCAATTATGCGAGAAATTAGAGAGAAAAATTTT